GGGAGGGGAGGGAAGGGAAGAAGGGCAGCGGGGCCGTGTCTGTGCAGCGGCTCCAAGGCCGGGGCAGAAGGAGGCACAGCCGTCCCTGTGAACCGGGAGGCTGCAGGGCGGCACTTACAGCGAGCTCCGATACCGAGTGCTCTGACACAGCCTTTACTGGGTTAAAGCCCTAACTGAGAAAATCTCCTGGTAAAGGAGAGCTTTTAAAACCGGGCTCCCGGTAAAGAGAAAGTTTTAAAAACCCGGTACAGCCTTTACTGGGAGATCTGGTACCGAGTGCTGTGACACAGCCCTTACCGGGGTTACATTCCCTTACAGAGCACTGCGTACAGCCCTTTTCGGGAGCTCCGGTGCATCCCTAACCGAGCACCCGGTACAGCCCTAACCGAGTGCTCTGACACAGCCTTTACCGGGGTTACAGCCCTCACTGAGCTCTCGATACAGCTCTAACCGGGAGCTCCGGTGCATCCCTTACCGAGCACTCTGCCCAGCCCTTTTCGGGAGCTCCGGTGCATCCCGGTCCTCACCGGCCGTGTCTCCCTCCCTCCCTGCCGGGCTGACACCTTCCCACAGCCCCAGTGTGAATCACCGGTGCCTGAGCTCTGAAATCACCCGGTGAGCACTGCCCAGGCAGCTCTCAATGGGAGCTTCAAAGCAGGGATGGTCACAAACACAAAGATTTGGGATGGGAAATGAAATCCCACTGCTGATAAAATACCCCAGACACCCATCCCTGTGCTGCCAGGATCCTGCTGTAATCCCACCCCTGGTTTCCATTGCTTTGCAAGCAGCTCTCCCAGTGCAGGCACATCTCTCCCCATCCAGGTGGGGGTGCCAAAATGGGAGCTGGCGCCTGGGGAGCTCATTTCTGGGGATTCCACTGCAAAATAAAAATTGTCTAAAATTTTCCTTTTTCTCATTATCTTTTTCATTTGCACTTCAGTGCTCTTCTCTGCTTGTTCTACAAAAAAGGCTTTTCCCAGGACAAAACCACAGGGAGCTTAAGGGGAAAAGTGCCTGAAAAAACCCCAAAAGGCAGCCTAGGAGTAAGCCCAGAGCTCAGGACTGACTTGGAAAAACAGGAGTTGGGATGGGCCAAGCTAAGAGAATAAATAAGATAAAATAAGGTAAATTTACAAAGAAATAAAATAAAAAGAAATAAAATAAAACAATAAAAAATAAAATAGAATAAAATAAAATAAAATAATAAAATAAAATAAAATAAAATAAAATAAAATAAAATAAAATAAAATAAAATAAAATAAAATAAAATAAAATGAAATAAAATGAAATTGCTGTTAACAGATGTGCAGCTGGCAACCCAAACCAGCACTAAAACACCAGCTGTGGTCTAAAAGGTCCATCAAGTTCAGAGATGGTCACAAATTTTACAGGGAAAAATCCTTCAGAATGGCCCTGCCAAGGGCTGACACTGCCCTGGTCTCACCCTTTAGCTCCTTTTCCTCTCCTGTTTGTTCTCAGAATAAAGCAGCTCCTTTTATTTCAAAACATCTCCTGCAGCCCTTCCAGAAAATAGGACAGGCTCCTTTAATGATCAGGGAAAAGTTGGATTCTGCTGGAGTCACATTAATTTCATCAAACATTTCATTATGGTAATTAACTTCATTTTTCAGTCATGGTACTGATGGTCTGGGCTCATCAAAGCCTTTTTTATTTGTCATGCACTGAAAAAGCTCAGATTTATTAATCCAGCAGAAGATTTACATTCACAAATCAATTATGTTTGTTTATAGAAAAGTTCCACACTTGATCATTTCGTGCTTCCCACCACAGCACGGGCAGCTCTCCAAATTACCAGCTTTGTTTGACACTAAATAGTTAACAGGATAAGTAGGGTTTGGTGGTACTGAGAATATTCCTTTTCTTGATTTTTTAATCAAAATTATTCTGGGCACAGC